TCTTGCTGTGTTTTGGGAAGTAAGTTCTCCCTGCCCTTCCTTGGATTGTATCCCGTAGGTTTTTCTCCTCTCCAATTCTCATTTTGCGTGGCTGCAGCCTCTGTAGCATGCGGCGGTTTACAGTCTTTCAACTTGCAAATGCAGCGGGAGGTGCGCTTTCAGGATTCTCCTCCTCAGGACATCCCCAGTGGCGGTGAGTATACCGACACCAGAGGCAGCGAGGAGGCTGCCGGAAGTGCACCCAAATTTGACCGAAGCTCTGGCAATTATAGCACTTTGTCATCACTGTTTAGGATTTATTCACTTATATTGAAGGAAAGATAGAGGGGCGGATAGAAGTGACCAGAAGACGAAGAAGAAGACGTAGAAAAATGCTGGATGACCTGGGGGACAGAAGAGGATATTTTCATTTGAAGGAGAAAGCTCTAGATCGCATCAAGTAGAGGAACTGTTTTGGAAGAGACTGTGGGCCTGTCGTCTTGACAGATTACTTATGAATAATGAATGACTTTAATAATTTTATTATATGGGAATTTGAAGAGTCTTATGATTTTTGGCTTTTCTCCAGTGTTATTAAGAAGAAGGGAAGGAGGATACGTGTGGCATCCTCTTCCGGAGAAGGACGTGTGGCAGTCATCTGCTTGAAGCTGATGACCTCATAGCGAAACTCCTGGAGGGCCACAGATGAATTGTTGTTTGGCAGGTACCTAATGAGAACTTTGATGGGGTTTTGTGTTTTTATGTAGAACGTCAAGTAGGGATGACACTTGTAGGCCAGAAGAGTCTGGATTGCTTTCGAGTCAACCATATTTTTGTTGAGATCCCGTACCGGTTGCTCTGTTCCGGAACAAGAAGGCCCCGTTCGCAACGCTTCTGAGTTGTTTCTGAAGGCTTATTAGGTTAGCTTCAGTGATGAGGATTATTGGTGATAGCCTATCTTGGTCCAGATTCCCTTTTTCGTGAGGTGTGAACGAGCTTCCTTCATTGGTAGGTTCCTTACCTTTCATTGATATGGTCCTCAGCGGAACAAAGAAATTTCCACTTGCCACGGGCAGTGAATTTTGGTATACTGGGAGTGGCCTCGATTTCTCTGGGACCTCTTTCTTGCTGACGATGCTGTCGTCTTCATAGTCTTTATCTCTCTTCTCTTCCTACTTTTGCTTTGGGTAGGAACTTTCTCTTCTACTTTCTTGCTCTCTACCTGAACTGTATCCGACTTCTCGTGATGTATCGCAGCATACAGGCGTAACATGGTTATAAACAGCGCCTTGCCGTGACGATGTTCTCCAGAGGACACTCTTCTCTGCGTCCACTCTTTCTCTCAGTTGCATCCAAATGGCACCATTGCTATTCAGGCTGGGGGATTTCCAAGAAGTTGGCATATTTTAACTAGGGAAGTTCAAACTAAGTCTATTTCCGTGTAAGTTTTGAGGTTTTCACGGCGATGAGTATGAAGAATGTCGTCTTCTGGGATCTGGCGCCGTGTATTCTTCGTTTTAACCGACGTTTCGGAGATAGCTGTAGCAGCTATCTCTATTCGCACGCAACTCAACTACCCTGAAGATGGAGGCGATATGTTCCTCCGAAACGTCGGTTAAAACGAAGAATACACGGCGCCAGATCCCAGAAGACAACTTTCTTCATAAGTCTATTTCCGTTTTCGCGTCTGAATATTCGGCAATCCAAGCTTGATATTGCCTGTCCAAGTAAGCAAGCAATCCTGCACACCTAAATTAAGCACCACTATCCTGAAATGAGCCTGGCTGGCCGCAGGACGGCAGCACCGCCCGCAGTTTCCAGAGACGTCCACTAGAGTACGCAGTTCTTGCAGTTTCTTGTGAGCGAAACTCACTTCCAAGATGTCACACCTTCTTCGCCACTCTCCAACCCAAACGCCAACCAGATAAGCCATTAGATGTTACGTACATACTGCACAGTTATGTATGGCACATATTTACAGAATTTTTGAGCAGATGGCTGAACATAAGAGGAAAGGAAACGTGTACATTGTGTCTCTCAGCATGGATAAGTTCATGATTTATTCTGACCGTCTTACAGTGCATACATTTATTCACCTTACTCTTCTCTCTTGCACTACATGTTTCAGCATAAAAGTGTCATCTTCAGGTGCTTTTCAATGTACGTCGAAATACTTCATCGCATGCCCTGTTGTCTTTATACTAAAATAACTAAAATACATATTCGTCATATATACTGCTGGCCCAGCAGTATAACACACGCAGTCACAGGAGCAAGACACAACACAAAGCACAATACACACATGAAAATAGGAAGAATACTCCGATAGAAGAAGGTAGGTGTGACTCGCGTATTGAAATACGACATAAGGATGACAAATCCTGAACAATTTTAATATTTTTAATATTTAAAATTTATCAATATATATGACGAATATATATTTTAGTTATTTTAGTATAAAGACAACAGGGCATGCCATGAAGTAGTTCGACGTACATCGAAAAGCACCTGAAGATGGCACTTTAGTGCTGAAACATGTAGTGCAAGAGAGAAGAGTAAGATGAATAAATGTATGCACTGTAAGACGGTCAGAATAAATCATGGACATAAATCAGTGCAACAGGACGCTAAAATATAACATTATGGATAAGTTCATGAAAACATTCGACTACTTTGCAGGCTGGTGGTTACTCAGCTAGTGGCGAACAAAGAAACTGTAAGGAAATTGGCTGTTTTCCCTAACTTGCAACTTGCCCCGACTTACTGTGCTGTTTATTTCTTTTAGAATGTAACAATTGGTTTTACTGTTATTATATTAATATTTTCCGACACGTTTTCTTCCACTTTTACTGGTTATGTGCTTCTACGCCATCTTTCTTGTGTTTAATCAGTTTTTCCTGTAGATAGAAATTTTAGCATGCAGGATGTTAAACTTTAAGAATGTGAAAGTGCACAGGTTGCATTCTCTAGTTCTGATGTGTCCAAATACATGAAGTGAATTCCTAGTTAGTACAGAATTAGAAAGGAACAGATACACAAGAGGGTGTGTAAGGTTGTCTCATATATTACATTTTCTTAAAATCACGAATGACAATAATAATAGTAGTTGTCAATATCATACGAACACAGTAATTTTAGTGCAACACCTCTCGTTTGTTTCTGTAGTCCAGAATCTCGTATTTTGAAACGCCACTCATGGGCTTATAGTAACGTCCGGATTATTATCTCATAATTTCAGTACTATTATGTATTGTTTTCTTTGTACTGCACAGTCATGTTACGGCTAATGTATGCTGTGCAATAATTCACACTTTCAGCACATGAAACAGAATGATTTTCCGAAATAGAATTATCTCTTTCCTTAGATAGTGTGTAGATATGTACACGTAGGCCGGTCACCGTAGCCGAGCGGTCTAAGGCATTACTGTCTTCGCTCGCTCGGAAGCCGGGAACGTGGGCTCGGATCTGTTTCCTGTGAGATACGAACTGAATTCTTATATATTAGTCTCATAAATTGCCGGTCACCGTAACTGAGGGGTCTAAGGCATGTACTGTCTTCGCTCGCTTGGAAACCGGGATCGTGGGTTCGAATCCCACTCAGGGCATGGATGTTAATTTGTGTGTTTGTGTACAGGTAGAGGCCTTGTGACGAGCTGATCACCCGCCCAAGGAGTCCTACCGAATGTGTAAGATCTAGAAAAACCGAAGTGAACGGAGAAGTTCATGGAGGTAGGCCTAGGCCCACTGGGGCTGTAGTGCCAAGGGTGGGGATGTACACGTAGAGTGAATAATTAAGTTAAGGGAACACAGTGGTGGAGAAATCATAATTCAACTTTTCAAGACATTAGTGACTTACGAGATCATAGTGCCTTCGAACTATTGAAAATTTGTATCATGGGTTCGAATCTCACTCGGAGCATGAATATGTGTCTTCGTTTTCCTGTGTTTGTACCGTGCTGTGTAGATATAAATCTTGCGATCAATCAGTCCCTCCCAAGAGGGACATAGCTAGTGCCTAAAAGATCGATAATTGCATAAACTAATTGGTACGATAATACAGTCGAATACTGTCCAAAATTATTTAGTCGTATTTTACAAGTTAAAATGGCATACATGGTCTTAAGAGTGGCTACATCGGTTTGCGAATAAATTTCGTAATGTTACTTTGGAAGAACGCAGATGCAGTGTGTATGGAACATAGGAATAGTTTATGAATAAATTATAATTTATAATAGGAATAAATAAAATTGTCCATGTGCTTAATTAATTAAGCACTACGCCATGAGAACGTATGGGGGAGTGAACGTATAGATCCACGTTTTCTTGACCTCAGCGCCAGTTAGAAGTGAGTTGTTAGCTTCACGCCCCTGCTGCTTTCCCCCAGAAGAAAGAGCCACCAGTACCCATTGAATAGAAGCCGGCCTGGATGACGTGGAGATGAGCAAATCCTTGACCCTACCGGGACTCGAACTCCGATCCCTCGATCGTCCAGCCCGTAGACAGTCTTTATACCCTTTACGCCATCCCGGCTTCTCAAATACAATTCACACTTTACTTAATGTTTAAATCGAACGTAAAGGTAAAAATAATTCCAGCCTTTCATAAAATTCTTTTCTGCGAGTATATTGTATAAAGTGAAGAGTTATGAGACGCGACCGAATACGAGAACGTTGGGCGTGTGCATTACTGTGTAGACTGGTAGCTGTAGCTAGTGATGTAGCACACTGGAGCTTGTAATGCGGTAGACCTACCGAAGATAAAAATGCTGCAATTAATTTCGATTAATATACGGGGGGGGGGGAACGGGGAGATGATGGCGGGGATCTGTGCACTCGGCTCAGCCATGTAGTCGGCTTGTTTATCTACGAGCGAACCTCCGGCCAATGTCTTGACGGTCTTGACGTCATATCAGCTTACCTAGGTCAGCTGTGCAGAAGCTATGGCGCACGGGTCTCCCGAGCCCTGAAGAGAACCCGTGGGTCTCGGAAGGCGAGCGAGCGACGCGAGCGACAGACGAAGGCCGAGTAGTCGTCAGTGCGTAGAAGAAAGACTTCGGTAGGTTGGAGGAAACGTACACGGCAACATCGAGCTTGGACCGAAGTACGTATCAGCAAGGGTGAAGTAGATCCACTCCGTCTTAGTATATTTATTTTGGATTGGTCAAGAGTGGTGGAGCTATATCTCCACTTCCCATATGTCTTCATGGCACATAGCGCGTAACCAATTAAGCACAGCGTCATTATCTTACTTTAGTAGTAAGGGTTGCCCACACAAGGAACTTTTGTGTGGTCGTGTGGCGGTCCTACCTGGCGCGAAATCCGAGGGACAAGAAAAATATTCCTCCCGAAAGCAGTTTCCACTCCCGACCTAACTCATTAAATCAATTACGATGTGATTTACGGCTGGGAGCACTTGCGCAGAAAAGGCAAGACACTTTTTCTTTCCTTGTTGTGGACTTGGTAGAAAAAGGTTATGTTAATTTGTGTTTGAAGGAACCAAATAGTTCTTCAGACCATTCTGGCAATTTTGTTGAAATAATAAAGTTACATTGAGTTGCTATGAAACTTTAAATCAGTATTCTCATTGCACATAATAGGCGTCCTCAAACATTCCCCATAATTACCGGAACCCTCCTTAGAATAGTATTGAATTTCCTGGTTCTTGTTTACATCCACCCCCTCCCCTTCGAACTGGTGTGTCACGGTTCTGTGAGGCAGTAGTCCCATTAGCTAACTCCAATAGAGTTAAATACTCCCCACTTTGGGATTCGAAGAGAACACCGATGGAAGTATGATGTACAATTCTGGGCTGTTTGTTAATCTGCCTGGTACGTTGTTACAGAATCGAACTGCCGTGTGATGGTAGCAGCTCCTATGGATCACAGTGGAACAGCGGGTGATGGTCCTGTGAACGAGAGGGTTGTCAAGACAGCGAGATGCGTCTACACGTTGGTAGGAAGCATTTAAAGTTGGAAGTCTCGTAGATGTGCAAGTTACAGGACACGAAATCGATTTTTTCCTTATTTTCATCACTGAATGTCGATAAGATTGTGTCTATTTTTGTAGGAGTCCTTAGGGACGCTATATTTTCCTGAAGTTTTATCGCGTTGGCGAACGTTTCGTGTACGTATACTCTGAATAAGCGAGCCATGTAGAATCATTTAAGGGGTATGTTTTTGGGCAATGTTCAAAATATGGTCTTTTTTTTTCAATGGCTCTTCCAGTGCATTCAGGGCCCAAGACTTTATTCAGTTCCGTAATCATTTTTCACAGACGATAAGACTCCTTTTATTAGTGATCAGCCCGTAGCAAGGCAGCTACATACACACAGGACAACACAGACACATACACCCACCAAACATACATGCCTTGAGTGGGATTCGAACCCACGATCACAGCGTCCAAGGGAGGGAAATGGAAATATGGCTACTATGAGACAATGACTAATGACTCACGTATGAGAGAATGAGGCCGCACGTGAGAAAACTTCGTCGGATGAGGACGAAACAGAAGTTTGTCTTCCCGGTGATACAAGGAGGCCAGATAGAAGAGGTAAGTAAATTAATTGGGAATTAAATTAAGAAGAACAGATAGCGTCTCTCTCTGTTCAGAAAGAATCGAGAAACTTAAAAATATTCATCGAGTCACGGAGAAAAAATTGTTAGCAGCTTTACGTCCGTTGTTTACGAGATCGCCTTAATATGGTTAAGGAATAGAAGGGACACATGGGCGGCGTGACATGAGTTCAAGGTAGCTTTGAAGGATGATTTTTCTACTAGATATGGAGGATGCATTGCTGGAAGAAATTAGGCAGCGTACACAAGGGAAACACAATCAGTGGTCGATTATGTCACGGCAGTCCAAAGGCTGTTTCGTATGTTAGAAGACTCTATAATCGAAATGGGTTAGCTTCGATAAAAATTAAAGAATTTGAGAACTGAAAGACATTCGGGCTTTCGGAGATAAGTTAATTAAGGATTTTTAGGATATTGGAAAAACTCTGGAGCGGAGGCTTACACAGCTCACTCCATTTTTTTTGATAGTGGGGTGGGACTAAGTCCCTTGTACTGCAGCCTCTTCTGGTCTATTGTACCAGCCCCAGATGATCGGTAAGGGTGATTGTGGAGCAAATGGTGGAATAAAAATTGGCAGGGGAAACCGAAGTACTCGGAGAAAACCTGCCCCAGCGCCAATTTGTCCACCACAGATATCACTTGACCAGACCCAGGAGGGAACCCGGGCCGCCGCGGTGGGAAGCCAGCGACTAACCACTTGAGCTATGGCGCGGCCCGAGCTCACTACATTACTAGCTCATCTGGGGTGAGCTGAGTTAGCATTTGGTTGGGCCCATCACGCTTTAACGGAAGCAGCAGGAACCTGTCTGCATGGATCTGATGACATCACTGAACCTGGTGTGTTTGTCAGCGGTAAGAGCGGTTCCGTCAGGTTTCAATAGGCTGCTGTAATTGCCTTGTCATCGTCACGTTTCTCAGCCTGTCCCTTAATGTCGTACCTGATCGGGTTATTAATGCCATACCTGAACCCGCAGTTGACAGGAGCCCACAAAATGGCGTGTCTATTCGCACATCATCTTTCATGTCATTAAAAAGTGACTGTTATTTGCACAGTATTGTTATTTGTTTTTATGTGATTTTAGTAATTAATAGCTTCATACACAACAATTAACCTTAATGTTTATATTACATGATGCATAAAGTAAAGATTAGGTTGTGTAAGATTTGAGGTTTTCTCGCCGTTAGGAATTTTATGTAATTCATGACGGGTAAGCGTTGTTATGCATGAATGTACTTGTGAAATTGCTACACATCACGAAATATATCTGGAAAGTAAAGATTCATAGTCCAGAAAATAGTTGTAAAGCAATTACTTTATTCATTGTAGAGCGTTTTACAACACACCTTTCTTTACTTTTCAACATACTCACCATGGATCGCAATGAACTTAGTGAGCCTGGGAACGAGTTTTTTATTCCAGCGTCCTAGAAATCCTTCTCCTGCTCTCTTAGCTATGGAGAGCAGTTCTTGACACTACTGGACATTGTTGATGAAGTTCAGCGTTGGTTAAACGTCTGTCAGCACGAATGTTTCCATCAGTTTCTGGACGATTTCATCAGTGACAACGGATGGCCTTCCACTCCTTAGTTCATCATGAATATCATTTCTTTCTGCTTCAAATTCACGACACCATTTTGCCACTTCATAACATCTTCACCGTAAACAAAAACAAGTTGGCAATGAGTTTCAGCAGCAGTTTCTCCTTTCGCGTGAAGAAATCGAATTACTGCACGAACCTAACATTTGGCGGGATTTTGAATCGACACGGCCATTTTGAACACATAACTGCGAGCACAACGTTGCCGTGAGTGTGGCCGGGGAACTCAGCCCTGTCGTACGGTTTCAATCTCGCACAGAAGCACTGCCATTGGACTTTGAGATATCCCTTGTACTGTGTTCTAATTATGGTCATCAAAAAGGCTTGAGAAAATCCATCCATTTGTTTGCTGGCTTCATTGAAATTGTTCTGGATGAAGAGGGATGAATTTTCCTATTTACATGTTCTGAAACTCATATTTCCACCTCGACATAGGAAACAGACTACAACGCATTGCTCCTAGAAGAAGACCTTTGGGCAATTCAGCACTGTACGTTATATTGCTACGTAATTACGTATAAGGAAACTTACAACAGCGAAAGCGTAACAGAAATTTCATCTCCATTAGCGTACACCAAGTTCAAGTGTGTGACGTAACTGGCAACAGAAAGGGAAAGGAAATGTGTTTAACATCTGCCACATTCGTCACGCGCTATGTGAATATAGCTTGTTCCTGATTCCGCAGTAAGTGATGTGAGACTGTAGTTACGTGTTCCTGTGTAGGTGAAGGTAAGCTTGCCCTCAGCTTAATTAACAACTCCATTGAGAAGCATGGGACGTCTGGACGGAGAGCTATATATATCTTTAATCTCAGCTTCTCACTCCGGCCGCTTTACTTCAAGGAGCAAAAACCTACAATACCCTTTTAGTAGGAGGTTAGACGGATTATGTAGTCGGTCTGCTTGCGGTAGAGAGGGAAATAGTTTTTTTTCCTCTACTGGGGGCCCATTCTGGTCGTCCAAACTCTTAGACAGTCACTGTATTGACAGAACTACCGTAAGAAGAAAGCAGGTTTCTGGGATTTGGCACCGTGTATATGTGGTGTTAACCAACGTTCCTCCGAAACGTCGGTTAACACCACATATACACGGTGCCAAATCCCAGAAGACTGCTTTCTTCATAGTCACCGCCGTGAAAGCCTCAAATTTTACATAGAACTACCCTAGTTCTAAAGTGCAAAAAGTAAAATTGTCACTGGGCTTAATTGAGCACCACGTCATGAAGATGTATGGGGGAGCGGAGGTACTACTCTACCATTTTTGAACTGCAATAAAATGAGGTGAGTGGTCAGCTTGACGCCCCGACCACTTTACTCATGAAGAAAGAGCCTTCGGCGCCCATGGGTCTGGACGCTGTGGTATAGAGAAAATTTTTTTACCTATGGTGGGAATCAATCACCGGCCGTGCAGCATATAACTGACTGATAATCCTAATCTAATCTGCTCTTATGGGATGAATCTATAGGAAGTTTAGTCCCATAGTACTGTTTTCTTTCTACGCATTTTCCGCACAGAATTACCGTACATTGTGGACGACAATGTCTAAAGAGCCATCACATGATTTCGAAATCAAAATGGCAGACTTGGCTGCAATGTGAATATAAATTTATTTCCAGTTTTGAATATTACTTTCAAGAGCTATGGACGTTGTAGCCTAGTTGGTTGGGGAACTGTGCTACAAACCGGAAGGTCACGGATTCGATTCCCAATCATTGCATTTGTCAAATGACTGTCGACCCGGAGGTTGACTCAGCCTCTGACAGAAACTACTACAAGAATATTCCCGGGGGTAAAGGGCGGCCGGCTCCAAAGACTGACAATCTCACCGCTGTCTTGCTCCAGGGAGTACGGAGAACTACAAAAAGTTGTGGTCAGAATAACCAGTTGTCTAGGCCGGGATTTGAAGCCCGGATCTCGCAAGAAAGGAGCAGGAGTGCTACCCACTCGGACGCGACACTCGTGCTTTAGCATTACATTTCATAATAACTTGAACTTTCATTACAGATAACTTATTAGCTTTCAATAGAATTTGAATGCCCTCCCTCTACAAGAAAAAATATTGTGAATTGATTCAGCAGTTTTATATTTATTTGAAGTAGAATGGCTTTCAAAGTAATTTTTATGAATATTGACTTCTAAAATTTTCCACATCTTCAAAAAATTTAGAAATAGGGCAGTCATAAAATCAATAATCAATATTACATTTATTATAATTAAACAATATGAGGGGGGGCACAGAACTGAATGAAAGTCAGAAGTGGGCCACGACCAAAAAAAAAAAAGTACAAGAGGAAACAAGATGACTGCTTGTGAGAGAAAAAAAAAAAAAGGAAAGCTGTCCCTCTAACAGGCCGTGAAGGCCCATAGGGTTGTGAGACGTTGAGGGTCCCACATTATCTAGACAATCGGTTCAAAGATGGCGGTAAGGTTGTCAGCCTTACGCGCCGGCCGCGCTTTACTCCCCAGGAAAATTATTTATTTAATTCCTGGTACTCATTTCTGTTAGAGGATGAGTCGACCCCAGTTCAGCCATAGTGCGGCAGGAAGGATTAGGTCAACTGAAAACAAAATTCAATGACCTCATCGGGATTTCAACCCGGGACTTTCCGGCTTGTAGAATAGTGTCTCAACCAACTACGCTACCGAGTGACAGTACCGATTTTTACTAATGTATTCAGACTACTATAAGTCTTACATGCCTGTCGAAATGGTAGAACATTGTTAACAAAATACAGTGACCATATCCAGAAAATCAGATATAATGAAGCTGATTCCGCCTTT